AGGGAGGGAAGGAAGGAGAGAGGAAAGGAGGGAGGAAGGGGAGGAGAGGGAGGCAGGGAGGGGAGGACAGGAGGGCAGGAAGGCAGGAGGGAGGGAGGGAGGGAGGGAGGGAGGGAGGGAAGGAAGGAAGGAAGGAAGGAAGGAAGGAAGGAAGGAAGGAAGGAAGGAAGGAAGGAAGGAGGGGAGGGGAAGGGAGGGAAGGAAGGAGAGAGGAAAGGAGGGAGGAAGGGGAGGAGAGGGAGGCAGGGAGGGGAGGACAGGAGGGCAGGAAGGCAGGAGGGAGGGAGGGAGGGAAGGAGGGAGGGAGGGAGGGAAGGAAGGAAGGAAGGAAGGAAGGAAGGAAGGAAGGAAGGAAGGAAGGAAGGAAGGAAGGAGGAAGCGTGAGCAGAAAATCCCAGTTACCTCCTGAATTAAAAACAATAATAAATCACCAAAGAACGAAGTGGTTAGAAAAACGTCCTTCAAATTTTTAACCCAGATTTCACACATGCTGGACAGCCTTGAGTAAGCCATTAACCGCTGCAATACAGCCTACCTCACTGGGCAGTTGTAGAATTAAACAAACAAAAAAGACAAAGCTCTTTTTGTGCTTTTTTAAAATGCATTTCACAAAAAAAAACCCTGTAAAGCACAATGCCCTTCTGTGCAGCTTGTTTTGTTTTGCGCTGTGCTGCACTGCACTGCACTGCACTGCCAATGAAAGCAAGCTTTAGCATTTGTTCAGAAAAGCAGAAAACGTCCTTATGACTAAGCCCCGTAGGTTCAAGTGGGAGTATATGTGTGTGTGTGTGAAATCACTCCACTTTGGGCTACAGGGACTCACTAAAAGGAACAAGCAGATCTTAACCAAATACCTATCTAATCCATTAAAAAGAAAGAAAACTCATTGTGAGGATATCTATGAGGAGCTACACTGATTGGGAAGAGAATTTTTTTTGCCCTGAAAATTGGAATTTTGGACATGGAATTACTTTCTTGCTCCTACAAATTCCCAAATGTTTCCATTTCCTCCATCCCAGGGTTCTTGAGCAGGAATGTTTAAGGCAGGAAAAGGAGGCTTACAAGTTCCCCCCCACCCTAAATGCTTGCAGACTGTTAATTTTCCAAGGTGAGAAACAAGTGACATTGAGAAGTGGGGGAGAGCTGGTAAGAGGGCTGGAAAGGATAGCCAGATTGGTCTCAAGGCCTCTGTTAATGACAGTAAACAAGCAACCTTGAATGGCTGGGGGAAGGAAGGAAGGAATAGAGAAGGGAGGGAGGGAAAGAGGGAGGGAGGGAGAGAGAGGAAGGAATAGAGAGGGAGGGAGAGGGAAGGAAGGAAGGAAGGAAGGAAGGAAGGAAGGAAGGAAGGAATCCTCTTCAATCCCTAGCTGTAACATCTGTCCATCTGTAGTTTCCACTCTAATATTTTTTTTCTCCTTTCACAAATCTTAAAGATTTCCCCAAGCCTGCTGGTGTCTCCAGGATGAGGTCCATCGGGAACAAACTCTCGGAATATAATTGCTATCAACAGAGTATAGACAAAATGCTTCCAGTGGGACCTCTAGCTGAGCATGCCCACCTCTTCTTCCCAATAGTCATCAATATTCATTTGCTTGTCTCTCTTCCCTTCTTTGTGACTGGCTGGGTGAGATTTAGAGGGAAAGGACAAGGTGACAGAGATGTGGGTGATCTCACTGCTATTCAGTAGCTCAGAAGGACAAGCAGAGAGGTGAGAAATGCAAAAAGGAGATTGTGAAGGTCTGAACTCAAGTTGGGTCAGATCTACTTAGGACTTGGATACGAGAAAGGACAGTAAGAAGTAGCCTTCAGAATCAAAAATCACCCTGGAAGAAGCATCAATTGCAACCTTGAAAATTGCCTTGGACATCTCTACCAAATCCACCAGGAATTAAGATCCAAGGAAAGGTTAACTTATGAGTTTAATGTTTTGTGAACCAAAGCTCAGCATTCCTTGAACTACAAGAACTGCCTTTCTCAAGCCAACGCAGGTGACTTTTATCTGAAAAAAAAAAATCCTGTCTTCCCAATGCAGACAGTGCAGACAGATGCAGCACTGGTGCTCTGAGCCTTCTTCATTTCTTAACTCTCTTCCAACTCGCTATCAGGACTAAAGACTTACGCATCTGGCAGGTCTTCCCCACAAAGGGTGAGGGGCATTTACAGTTAAAGTTGCCCTTCAAATCCAGGCAGGTCCCTCCGTTCTTGCAGGGCTGGGAAACACATTTATTGTCATCTGTGGCAAAAGGAAATGACAGAGTGCAACACAATTACTTCCAGGTTTCATCAGATCTAAGTCAGATCAAGCCATGCCTAGTAACAGTAGGACTACAGTCAAACACTTTCCATTATTTGAAAAAGGTTAAGGATCCGTGTCTCAAAACACAGCACTGGCTCATATGATATACCCGTGATGGCAAACCTGTGGCACGCAGAGCCACTTCTGCACCTGCGCACATGTGCCACTGCCCAACAGCTGATTGTTGGGTATCTGGTGTGCATGTGCAGGGGGCGGGGGATGCACGGGAGACACGCCCGCATGCACAGAAATGCACGGTGCATGTGGGGGGTCATGCACGCATGCACAGAGATGCATGGCATGCGGAAGGGTCGTACGCACATGTGCAGAGGTGCACAGTGCATGTGGAGGGGTCACACACACATGTGCAGGGGGTGTGAGGGCCCCCAGCACGCATTGCCTTCTGGGTGCTGGCACGCAAGCGTGCACACAATTTTTGGCATGAGGGCCGAAAAAGGTTAGCCACCACTGTGATATACAACATTCATTTAGAATTCATTCATTTATTGCGTCTTCATTGTTTTCTGGAAAATCCAGAAAATGTTAAAATGAACATGATGTTTGTCCTCTTTTTCCAAAGTGATGGTTTGGAAGAAAAATAATAAGAGGACAAATGAAATTGAATGTTTTTATGATTACAAAAAAAAAGGCCGTTCCTTCAAGGTTGGAAGGATGCCCATTGTTTGTTAGTTGTATAACTAGCTATTAAGAGGGCAAAGTTCAGGTCGGTCACACAACAATTTCTCTCTCTCTCTTTCCCCCCCCTCTCTCTTGTGGGAACACACATTGCATGGCATTACACTATAGCTTTGTTAACCATGTTTCACTGAACATGGTTTCCACCACCATTTCATCATGAATGTTGATCAGGCTGAGAGACACTTTTGTCAGTCCTGCCCCACAATGAACAGATGTGAACCTGCCCTAGGGAATGGAGGACTAAAGAAAGCATGAGGAGAGGTGTGTGGCTTTCAGAAAAGATTAAAAGGTAAAGGTTCTCCTTGCACATGCATGCTAGTCATTTCTGGCTCTAGGGGGCGGTGCTCATCTCTGTTACAAAGCTGAAGAGCCAGCACCATCCAAAGATGTCTTCGTGGTCATGTGGCCAGCAGGACTAAACGCGGAAAGCGCACAGAACGTTGTTACCTTCCCACCAAAGGTGGTCCCTATTTTTCTACTTGCAGTTTTACATGCTTTCGAACTGCTAGGTTGGTGGAAGCTGGGACAAGTAACGGGAGCTCACTCTGTTATGCAGCGCTAGGGATTTGAACCATCGAACTGCTGACCTTTTCTGATTGACAAGCTCAGCATCTTAGCCATGAGCCACTGTGTCCCCTTCGAAAAAGTAATCAGAAAAGATTACTCAGTCCTAAAAGGAAGAAAGCATGATGGAACTGATGGTGTTAGCTAGTTTGGGTAATGAAACGTCTGCAAGAAAACAACCAAGCTCAGAGAGCACCAAGGATCTCGCAGGAAAAAGGAACTCAAAATAACCTGACCTTTATTTTGTTTGGTAGAAGACGGACAGAGAGAGAGAGACAGAGAGAGAAAGAGAGAAACCTGGACATGCTTTCAAGATTCTGTCATCTACTTTACTACAATGAAAGATATTCTTGCAATTCCTGTGGCGCCTGTTTCTTAACTTGGCCTATCTCAAAGGAGTGACATCCTATCACAAAATGCCCTTTTTATCATTGCAAAAAGAAACACAAGGAGATAAGATAAAGGATGAGGGAATCCGAAATACTGGCTCATTGTCAGGTTTTGAATATCACTGATGCCATGAGGAGAGACGAGGCTCTTGGTGAGTCTTGTAGGTGACAAGAATGGCACAAATGGTGACATTTTTGGATGGACCTGAGAGGTAGGAATGCCCATAGTTTTAAGCCCCACTTATGAGCTTCTCAGAGACTGCTCCGAAACTAGCATGTGCTGATCTTCTGTGACCTGTGGGATATCTTTCCAGAAGAAAATCATACTCACAGTACTGGCAGTGTTTGCCATTATACCCGGGACGACATATGCACATGTATTCACTGAAAGCATCACCCCGATTGGGAAGTAACCTGCATTCCCCATCATTCTTGCATGGATTTGGTTGGCAGGGACCTAAAGACATAAGATGCAGAAGGAGGAAGAAATTGGGAAGAAAAGGAACACAATCAGCTTCTGCAACATCCATCTCTTAAGAGTAGTATTGAGCCTTGGTGGCACAGTGGTTAGAGTGCAATGCTGCAGGCTACTTCTGCTAACTGCTGACTGCCTGCAGTTCGATTCTCACCAGGCTCAAGCTTGACTCAGCCTTCCATCCTTCTGAGGTGGGTAAAATGAGGACCCAGATTGTTGGAGGCAATACGCTGACACTGTAAACCGCTTAGAGAGGGCTGTGAAGCATTGTAAAGTGCCATATAAGTCTAAGTGCTATCACTATTGCATTTAAAACAACCCAAAGCAGCTACATAACCCTCTCCCCATTGCCTGCATCTTAACTCAGGAGAAAGAATGAATGGCTGCTGAATCCTAAATGTGATTAGCAAACCATGATTTGCATATTATAATGGCCTTTAATTGTGGATATTATTTCCAAACAAATGACTTCTGTAAAGCCTCCATCAAATTTGATTAGAAAACCAAACTGGAATATATCACAGCTTGCGGCTAGGCCCATTGGTAGGGAAAACAAACCGCAGCTTGCAAGTAATCATTAAAGAAACCATCCAATGAGGTTGAATCATGGCAACTGGGCCAAACTTTGTTCATCTGAGATGTTTCATTGTTCATCCAAGCAACTTCATCGGTCAGAGCAAAATTAGTCTTCGCTGACATCCAATGAGCTGTCCAGATTTGCTGAGCGATCCTCTCCTGCCCCAGAAGCTTAGTGGAAGAGATGTGCTATCAATGAAGGCAACATTGACAAGAATTCTGCCTTAGTGGACATTCAAACACGGCCTATTCTATAGCAGAGGGCAATCTGCGGCTCCTGGACCTCTCCTCCATGGACTTAGGAGTCCTCTCTGCTCTGGCAACTAAAGTTCAGCAGCACAGTTGCCCAAACTGTCTACTACTGGTCACACCACATCTGGAACGTTTAGAAGAGAGAACATCCGGGCTAAGAATGCCATACCTACCTTTCTCAGTTTCATTGCAGGTAGGCCCAGTGAAGCCGTCTGCACAGATACAGAAGAACGGAGATTGATCTAGACTCTTGAGGCAAGTTCCTCCATTCTGGCAGTGATTTACATCACAGAAATCACCTATTAAACAAACAAAGATACACATCAGAGCAATAGAGAAGAAAGGGGTTGCTGTCTTCCTATCTGCCCCTTTGAGCATTTATCTAACCTTCTTCTCTTATTTCCAGTGAAAATGGCGGGGGGGGGGTTGCAGCAAAAGAACACACGCACACTTCCATACAAGGGCATGAAAACCCATTCCAGGCCAAGGGTTGCACTAACATTTTGAGTGACACGATGGCCACGGCAAGAGCAAGATTGTACTTCAAGGCAATGAAGTTTTCAATATCATTGCCGCTGAGCTAATTATTCATTCATTCCTTTGTCCGGGGGTCAAAAATTACCACGTGGACCTGACTTGGGTCACACCCAACTCACTGAATAGGCACACAAATCTATAAAGTCACAAATGGCAAGAAAAAAAACCTACTGAATCAGATCAAAAGCTGATCAGTTTTGACCCTTCTGTTCACAAAGGAACGAGGAAACGATTCCGGGCAATTCACAACCAGGGGCCTCTCTTGTTTTTACAATGAATGGCATTCAGAGTTGTAGTCATTCTGACCTTAGACATAATATCCACCATCCTAGCCAATAAAGATTGAAAGTCTTATCATCCATGAATTAGTTTAATCCCTTTTAAAAGACTTGGAAAAGAGCTCCTGCTTCCGAACCTCAGGATATACAATTTCCCTTTTCAAGCTAACCATTGGTAAATGCCTATGGAGATTCTCAGTCATTTTTTAAATTTTTTTATTTATTTATTTTGTCAAGTGATTATAAGATAACAGGTATGTATAAACATAGTTATGAATACATGAAATGGATAAATATAAGAAAAATAAAAAGAAACAATAGGACAGGGACAGTAGGCACGTTGGTGCACTTATGCACGCCCCCTATCAGATCAGAGTTGTCCAAAGGTGTTTTTTCCAAAAGCAACTGGGAGGAGGAGGAGGAGGAGGAGGAGGAGGAGGAGGAGGAGGAGGAGG